CTGTTCGAAAGAACAGGTGAGTTGTGAATTTTTTTAAAACTGGTGAACACGCCATTATAATCGAAGAAAACGGTGAGCGAAATTTTCGCATTTGATCAAACCTGGCGTCTTGGATCCTCTGTCCGCTTTCATTGGTATGATTGGGCATCGATTTCGACTTAATAGCAAAATTCCCATATTTTGTCACTGGGTTTGACCCGCATAAAAGGTTGACAGCACTTGGCCGGATAAATTCCGCATCAACTCCAGTGCTTAGTACCGGCTGCCATGAGCGTCGACAAATCTGGCAAAACACCGCCCTGAGGACTGCGACAGATAGCCTTTTCATGTCTCCAGAGCATCTCACGTACACCGAAGCATCTACACTACGAGTTACGCATATGTGGTGTGACAATTCGGTAATAAGACTGATTCGATTAAAACCGTATGTTTTAAAATTTCCCCTCCAAAGTAGTCGCCATGGGCAACGCGTTTTCCATTCTTCGTAACATTTCTGGAACGCTTCTACTTGGATGTCCGCGAGTACCCTCGTCGCGGTCGCCTGGATGTTCTCGATCGACTCAAAATGGATTCCTTTGAGCACCGATTTTGTTCTATGGAACAAAAAAGTCAGAGGGTGACATATCGCATACGAAGAGCTCGAGAGTGCCATGTAATACTGGCGCAACTAAGATTTGGATAAAGTAGTAGATCAAACAACTATCTATCCAGACTTGATGCCGACATACTCAACGTATGTATGTCTTGTATGCAATGAGTCGCCGCACGACACAAACCAACTCATCTAACCCCCTTTACCCTCTGGTCCGAAACCGTTGTTTGCTAGACCTTTCGTTGGATGACCTCGGTGACATAGACTAAAGTAACTCGCTCTTAAACGCGGTTAGCGAGCCGCTACAGCAATAACAACACCCTTTTGAGAAAACCTGGTTTGTCATTGAAGCCATTCAATTACTCCTGAGCGATGCACAGCCTGAGAAAATTCAAAATTCACCTTTTTACTTGAACAGACCTCGTATGTATGTAACTTTTAGCAGCTCCGCTAATGAATATAAAAACTAAAAAATTAGTGCATTTACTCTTTACTACCGTCGGAAACGAAAATATTCAAATTTACTTATAACACACATACGAATATTTTGCAAAAGCAACTACAATTCAAGACAAGTGAGAATAATTCGCGCTGTGAAATGTGTAATTGTGTATGTATGTACATGTAAATGCAAAAGTTTTAGCTTTTTAAGTGCTTACTTACTTCCTTGGCCATTAACTCTTCCACCTTCCACCTCTTCTCGCTTCGATTTTCAGCTTCACCTTGTCGCATATTAATTAACATAGCGGCATAGTCGTAAATCGTAGCAGCCAGGAATTGTGAAATTATCGTTGTTGTTATTTGATATGTTCGATGACGTTAAGTTGTTGTTGCTGTCGTGTTAGATTACTGAAGCTTCCATTAGAAAGTCACAGTAAATCATAAATTTTATCGCATTTTAACTAAAACTGTCTACATATATTTATTTTTAGACCGTTACATTCAGTTTTTTAATGTATCGCTAAACTTTAATTATCTCTCAGACAGTGAAAAGTTGTCAAAAATTGTATGCCCACCTAAAATAAGTTTGAGTTCTAAGGATTGCCAGATTGCACATTTCTTTTTTTTTAATTTTTTTTTTAATTAAAATTCCTGCTCGAGGAGTTCAAAGTCTTGAAAAATGTATTAAGACTTGAACCCAAGATTTTCTTCAAACACTCTCGAATAGTGACATCGCTCGAAATTCAGAAGGAAACAAGCTAAGGAAAGTCTTGTCCGAAAACCAAATGGTTAATGGACCACATCTTGCAGCGAAATGCGAACCCACATAGGACAAGTGGGTCATATTCTAATATTTGCAAAATAGTAAGCCTCAGACGGTTGGGATGGGCTTTAAACCTTTCAAACCCTATAAATCTCCAAGATGGATGGGAATTACTGGCAACGGTGGACATCTGTATAAAGTCTGCCTATGCGGAGGATGTGTTCCCCATGTATGTACCAAGGCTAAAGTGCTATTCATTCCAAAAGAAAGCAGGACCGGACATATCATACAAATCCACAACTTCATTTATATGACTACCGCTGCCAGTACTTAAATGTTGTGATCTTCTATGGCTATAATGGCAGCCTCAATTGCGCATTTGAAGCTGTGAAACGTCTCTGTATGATTGGTATTGTACTTATTCTTAATGGTTGCTCACACAAAAAATAGTTCAGTCAGCCAGTTGACATCGCCATTTCGGATAATTGTACTATTTTCACACAAGATCGCAAATAATGGATAGTAATGTTGGATATGTGGCACGTAGCGTCGTCCTACTGAAACCACACTTCGTCTTTGTCATTATATCAATTCTTTGCATACAAATATTCTCTGAGCTTGGCACAGTAACGATCTGCATTGACGATGAGGTCCCCTTCCTCGTTTTCTGATAAGATGTTATTTTTTATTATATATTCATCTTCTGCCATGTGATCTTCGGCCCACGGCACGAAGCGAAATTGCGTCGATTCGTCTTGAGGCGTCAGTTCTTGAACCAATTGGAATTTTCAAACCTTCCTTCTGAGGGCTTTATGCAAAGTCCTGCATAAAGAGTATAAAGTTGATATTGATGGCTGTTAAAGCACACTTTGAGCCACAAAATTTTCCTTTGATCGGACTGGGCGAGCACGCATGCAAGTTGTTTTGCGCGATAACGAACCGGTTTGGCGAACTCACTACACAAATTTATCCACAAACTGTCTGGAAGGCGAGTTGTTTAGCCCGAAATGTAAGTAATGAAGGTTCTCAATATTTTCTACTCTTCTTGAGACCCAAACTTATCAATTTCGTAAGCTGCAAACCTTGCACAGACTATTTGACACATCGGCAATGCCATCGCAGTATAAGATGGTCTGCAGACCGACGTACGCTGTTACCGAGTAATAAATGCTATGTGCTGGAGGGTTTAGCGTATGAGTTCACTTCGGAAAATTCACTAAGTGGCCCAAAATCTCTTAAGCGGTTACAAAGCGCCAGCCATATCTATATATGAACGGATGAGGTCTGTATAACGATAGTCTCCATTGATCTTCGTTTAATTTTTTGTCCAGCATTTTCTTTTTCTTCAGGAGCGCGGACTAATTCACATGACTTTCGGCATCTTGAGGTTTTAAGAAGCTTCTATTCAATTCGAGAGTTTTCCCTTGTTTCAAAGTGAATTCAGTTATTTCCCTCTGCAACCCTTATCCCTATTGGCGAAAAAAATTGGCACAACTGATTTTCACAGGCTTCTTTTGAGGGCGATTCTTCATTAGCCAAATCATTCGCAAATTAACAGGAACATATGGCAATCAGTAATTAGTGCGAAGTGCTTGGACTACAGATTGGATGCATAAGAACCTCTCAGCCAAGCTATCGAAACCACTGGCGAGTGACTATCGATCTGTGTGGTCTGGCGTTGTCTTATTGAAACACAGTTACCTCCTGTTGGCCTAAGCTAGGCGCTTCTGAGCGATTGTTTCCATCAGTTGAGTCTAATTGCTGATAATACAGACCCGATTTTGGCCGTAAAGGAGCAGCTCACAGTAGATGATTCCTTGCCAAACCCACCAAACACAAAACAAAACCTTTTTGACCGTCAATTCTGACTTGGAGATTGTTTCTAACGACTCACTACTTTTTCATCCACGACCGTTTTCGTTTGATGTTGCCGTAAGTGGCTTTTTATCACCAGTCACAGAGAAATAGGTCGGTTTATTACGAGTTAGCAGCGATTCGCAAATGAAAATTCGGATCATGCAGGTCCATAAATAGAGTTTCTTTGTATATCCAGTCTTTTCAAGTGGTTCCAAACTGCTTTTTGTGCAATGCTTAGCTTCTGGGCAATGGCAACAGTGCCCATCTGATGATCGGACGATTCCCATTATTTTATGTACATTTTATATAATTGGCCTTCCACTCCGTGAGGCATCTCTTACATCAAAATTACCGGACCAGGATTTTCAGCTGCCTGAATGGCGTTTACGCCTAATTAATGAATGATTTGTTACCGGACCCAATATTTTGCTCTCGTCCCAAGGTAAAACTCCAAAATAGGATGGAAAGTGATGAGCATACGCTATTGGAAAACCGCTATCTGTGCGGCTTTTCGATAGTAAATTCAAAATACTACCGTAAAATCCCAAACTATGTGGCAATACCCACCCACTGTCTGCTCGCCCAAAAGCCGTGTATCGCTCTCTTTCGTTTTTTATTTTATTTTTTTTTTTTGGCCGGTTCTCCACTTTTGCACTTGACAAAGCGGAATTTTGTGCGCATATCGCACCTAAATACATACACACATACAGGTATTTAGCACATGCAATTTTAACAGGAGACTTAACAAATCAGCTAGAATTTAAAAAAAAGGAGAAACAAGAAAAAAACTAAATTTTCACACATTTTTGCCTATATAAAATGATTTCATTTATTTGTTTTTGTACGAAAAGGTAGTGGAAATATAATAATGCTTTCGTCATACGAATCGCAACCACCCGCGGCATGCACACACATTCAAACTGACGGACATGGACATGTATACACGTACATACAAATGTGTGTACATTTGTAGGGAGCTTTTAAGCTAGCCGATCGTTAATAGCATTTATATCGATATATGTACAATACGTTCATTGAAATACATCTATCTATACTGTGTCGACATTTCACATTCTACGTATGGGCATTTTAAACAAAATTTATTTTAAATGTTTGATTACAAGGAATCGTTGACTTCAGTCGATTTTGTGATTTGTACGGGCTTCGAGATACTCATATTACGTCGGTCGTCGTTACGCTTTGAGCGCATCGAACGTGCCGTCTGCTACAGTTTGTCTCATTAAATTTCCGCGTATTGACTAAATTGAAAAGAAAAAAAAACAAAAAAAAAAACAAAAAAAAAACAAAATTGAAAAAGTAAAATTCCAAAAGAGAAGAAAAAATCATGTGAAATAATAATAAAATTAAATTAAATATAATAAACAAAACGCATACACACCTTTAAACGTTTTCGGCTGCACGATATTTACTATCGAAACCCCACTTTGTTGTGATCTGTTGTGCAGTTAGCGCGTCGTGAGCTGTAGCGCCTATAAACCGTTTTTTTCTGTGTCCAGCAGTGTTTTTTTTTGCATCGCGTGTGCGTTGATTTGGCTTAGTGGAAATCCAAACTGTCTAATAATCGTACTTCCGAAAGTTTTCAGCCGTTTCCTCGATTTCATTAGTGCAGGGAGATTTCCACTCCCTGGTGGAGTGTTTGAAGATGAAGTTTTTGGATGTTTTTTGCTTTCGACAAAGTGGGTGAAATTTGAATTTTTTTATGTGTTGCAATATTGTTTTTTTTTTGTTTTTGTTTTTGTGTCAATCAATTTTTATGCACCCTTCATAACTCAATTTTTCAATCGCCTTCATAAATCTTAATCTCCTATGGGCGTTGGTTTATGCACAATATTGATTTATTATGATGTACATATGTAGATGTGTATATTCCATTTGTATATTAATTTTAAATATTTTAAAAAATAAATTAAATTGCAATTAAATTTTCTGAATTTATTTTTATTTTTTTTTTTTTGGTCGCTTTCTTAAATGATAATAATTTAAGGCCTCAGTTTAATAATATGCCATGTTTTTTCATATCTTTATTTTTCCATATTCTCATTGATTTCTTTTTAGTTTAATTTAATTTAATTTTTTTCAATTTCATTTGAATTTTCTTTTTAATTTAATTTTATATAAATACATTTAATATTTTCACACTTAACTTTTTTTAATATTTTTTTGGTTATTTATTAAGTATTAGGAAATATCATTTCTTTCAATTAGAATTCATTTTTAAAAAAAAAAAATTAAAATATATTGTTTATTAATTTTAAATATTTAATTAATAATTTTATAACATTTTAAACATTAAGCTAATATTATTTGCTATTTTAACAATGGTTTGATTAATTTTTAATATTATTATCATTTTTTTTAATTTTTAATATTTATTTATATATTTATTATTGTTCTATTTTTATTATTTTTTTTTTTTACTTTTTTAACTTGTTCTACGTATAATTTTATTATTTATTTGTTATTTTATTTATTGCCTATTTTTCCATTATTTTTTATTTTTATTTTTTTCATTTTAAGAATATTTGTTTATTTTAATTTTTTTTTAATATTTGTGTTTGGTTTTAACATTTTTGGTACATTATTGTGTTATAATTGTATTATTTACTTATTATTTTATTTATTGTTTTTATTTTTAAATTCATTTTAAGAATATTTGTTTATTTTAATTTTTTTTTTTGATATTTGTTATTAGTATTAACGTTTTTAGTACATTATTCTATTATAATTATATTATTTACTTATGATTTTATTTATTGTTTTTATTTTTAATCTTTTTTTAGTTCATTTAATGCATATTTATATATATTTTAACGTTTGAAATGTTTTTTGTTTTATAATTTTTTTTCAGTTTAATACATTTTTTTAATATTAATTTATTTAAATTTTCTGTTTTTATATTTCTATAATTTTTTTATCGCCTTCCACTTATGTTTTAACCATTTTCGTTATATTCCCCAACCATTTTTGTGATGAATCAGCCATATTTATTTAAATATTTTGCGCCTATCAGTGTGAAATTAGTTTTTAATTACTTTTTAATGAAAATTCAATATCATAGGATTGTCATATTGATTGATGATATACTATGACCGATTGCGAAATTGAAAGTGAATTATGTGCCAATTGTGACAGTGTAGCGTGGCTATAAGAAGTAATGGAAAAATATATAAATAATACTTAAATATTTTTTCATTTTTTAATTAAAAATGCAAGATATAATCAAAAAGTAAAATTTTATGTACACTTTTTTCGTTTATTTTTTAATATTTCATATAAACAATAATATTAATTATATATTTATTTTCTCTTGCCTGTAAAACTAACTAATTTACGTAGCTGTTCAGTTATAAAGAAACCAATAAACCCATTCATTTTTTTTTTTTTGTTTTTGCATACCTCCGCAAATAAAAATTCCAACCGAAAATCGCTTTAGCGTTTATAAAGCGCCAACTTTGTAATAATAAATAAAAATTTCTTATAAAATTAAAATATAGCAATTAAGAATAAAAGTAGGAAAACCCACCTAACACATCACAACATTGTTTTTTGATGACCCACATTTATTTACATACAAACATACATATAGATATAGTTTCCTCGCTATCAAATGAGCCACCACCCACCGCTTAACCACCCACAAACAGCAACAATTCTTTGTATGATTGCGTATGTATGTCGGGGTGTGTGTGTGTGTGTGTGTGTGTGGAAGAGAGAATTTGTCGCGTCGTCGCTTAATTTAAAAAGCTCCTAAAAATATCACATGGCTCGTCGCCTGCCGCTATTTTGTTATTCTATTTTTTATTTTTATATATAACAATATATATATATATATATATATATATCACAATATATATACCATATATATGTATATCATTTTTGTTTGTAATGTGGTTTCCGTTGTGCCAAATTTCTCGTGTCACCAGACGTTGGCGCCTGTCGCCCACCTGCACACACACTAACAAAAAAAAAAAAGAAGCAAAGTAACAACAATAAAAAGCAGCAATTTCCTTACAACTACTGCCAAGAAATATTTGTAAAAGATTTTGTAGCGCGCGCTTTAGTTTACAAACGCTTTGTCATTATTTTAGTTCTTACTTTTAACTAAAAAAATTCATTAATAAAAAAAAATACAAAAAAAAATAAAAATAAAAGAATTGTTACGCACAAAATTGAATTTCGAAATGTTTCAATTAAGCTGTGGAATTTAATTAGGCGTGTAAATGTGTATTTGGGGTTTTTATAAAATTTGGTCGAGAAAAATCATTCTGTTTATTTATTTTTTGCCAAAATAAAAACCTCGCACCATTGGCTCTGGTTGAGTGAATCAACAATTTAACAATATTTTATATCGTTCCCAAATTTTTTTATTCCCATTTCATTGTCTTTACTGTTCCTTGATATAATAAACAACCCTTTTTTTTTTGCATTTTCCTGTAAAATTTCGCATTGTTTGTAGAACAACTAGCTTTAATTGCCTCTGCTCCACTTAAAAAAATTTTTTTTACAACTTTTCTCACTATTCGTCTTTGTTTTGCTGAATTTAAAAATTGAGTTTAACTTGTACAGTTTGAAAAAACGTCATTCATTCGAAAAAAAAAAAATAAAATAAAAAAATTAAATGCGAGTAGTTAATTATAATAAGACAATTTGTTTTGTGTTAAAGTAATTAAGTGCTGAAGAAAGCTAATGTATAGCTAAACAGTAATGGCTACAAAAAAATTACTAGAGAATAATATTATTTTTAAATTATCAACATTTACTAACTACTTTTAATAGTTTAATTTAAAAGAAGTAAAAATTTAGAAGAAGTAAAATCAATTGCGACCCCGAAGTCGCTCAAATTTATCATTCCATATGACATTTCCGATGTGTCAGATTTTGCACTGATTTTCAAATGGTTCTAAAAAAATTAGTCACTTTTAAATTATTGGTCTATTTGTCTTAGAAAGCGGGAAAGGAGCTGGCGTTAAGACCAAATTCGATCGTTAACGTACCAGTGCTGTGATTATTTATTTTCAAATATTAAAAAATAATAATAACATGCACGATGAGTACTTTGCGCTATATCCCACGACCTGCCTCGCTGACAAACTTAGAATCGAACTGTGTCCTCACAGCTACGATTTGATTCAGTTGGGCTATTTTTGATACCATACAGAGATGATTTCTGACTTGAAACACGATATTGAACTCACCATTATAGTCATAAAGGTGCCATACAATCGAAAATCAACAGCTGGGTCGGCAGACACAACAGAAAGGCAAATGCAAGATCAAAATGAGGCGCGAAAAGCTAATGAAGGAAGTAGTATTCCATCATTAACCTGAATGATGAGGCTTTTCATTGAAAACTATTTATCCATCCTTTTTATAAGAATTTTTAAACACAATTTTTTCGTGGCTCGGTTAAAGTTAACCTAAAATATGTTGCAAATTATAAAATTTTCATTGTACAATTCTTTTATCTCTGACTGTATAAAAGTGCATTAGAACAATGAGTACTTAGGAATATGAAGTCAAGCTTGTTTTCTCGAATTTTTTGCATAATTTTGATAAATATTATAATATTAAACTATTTATTTGTTAAATTTTTAGCAAATGACCCTTGAATGAGTATCGAGCTACTTGAACTTGAGTTTAAGATGTTTTTGTTTTCTTTTTTTTTTTGTTTTTTTTTTTTTTTTTTTTTTTTTTTTTTTTTTTTGTTTTTTTTTTTTGTGAAATCATACCAATTAATTCATATTTCCGTTTCTTTCTACTATTCGTAAAAATTTTTTACATTTTTTATTTTATTTTTGTTTTTTTTTATAACTGTTTTTGTTATTTTTTTCATATTTTTTATTATTTCTTAATTTTTTATTAATTTTTCGTTATTAATATGATTTTTTAGTTTTTACAATTTATTTACCTATATATATATATTTAATTTACATATTCTTATTTCATTTATTTATTTATTTCGTTATATTAATTTTTCTTATATATATTTTTTTTTAAGTTTTTCTCATGTTTTTTATTATTAATATTTATTTTATTTTTGTTACTATTATTTATTTATTGTTATTATAATTATTATTATTAATTTTTGTTATTATTATTTATTTATTATTAATTTATTATTATTATTATTAATTTTTATTATTATTATCTATTTTTTATTGTTATTATTATTTAATTATTATTATTATTATTATTATTTATATTATTACTTATTTTTTATTTATTATTTTTTTATGATAATTTTTGTTTATTTATTATTATTATTATTTATTATTAATTTTTTTATAATTATTATTATTCTTTATTTTTTATTATTATTATTATTACTATTTATTTATTATTATGGTTTTTATTATTTATTTTCTTTTTATTATTATTTTTATCATTGTTATTATTTTTGTTTATTTTGTATTATTATTCTTATTACAATTTATTTGTTATATCATTTTTATTATTATTATTTATTTATTTTTTTATTATTATTTATTTCTTATTATTATTATCATTTATTTTTATTATTACAATTTATTTCTTATTGTTATTATTGTTTAATTTTTATTATTATTTTTTATTTTATTTTTAGTTTTATATTATTTTTATTTATTTTGTATTATTATTATTAATTTTATTTAATTTTTATTATTATTATATTTATTATTATTTTTTTGTATTATTT